TTGTTTTCCATGAATCATTATCCACCTTCCTCCCATATTTATTGAGCTGTTGGAATAAGTTAGAAAATCCCTTTGTTCTCATGCAAGTTAAAGTAACGAACAACCCCCAGACATATCTACTGTTAGTGTATCTGTCATTAAGCCTTGAGCAAAGTGACATTCTCATATCTGAGCTGTTAAGTGGACTGAGTTATTGTTTACGGAATATTTAAGTTAGCACATAACAGTAAAATGTATATTTTGATTATTCTTCAGATTGTAATTAGGGTTGAACATTAGACAAACCAGAATGAAACAGATTTAGTGGGATAACGGCTGTTAGAAAGTCATGAGATTCACCTTTATCAGAAGGAGGTCTGGAAGCTGGATTTAGATTGGAACAACATTTAAGAGTTACGTAAAAAAAAGACTGAATAATAATTTTGCAAGTGAAATGTGAAAAATACAAATATGTCAAATTACTTTGCATCCTTCTTTCATTAAGGTATGGGAATAAATCATTGACTACCCAGTGGCTATCAAGGAAAACCCAGAGTTAACTTTAATGTAAAATGCATCTTAAAAGTTTTATTACTTTGAATTTTGAGCTTGAATTTAGTATAGGTAAAAAATAAAGTTGTAAGAAAATTGGTTATTACATTAAGACATGAACATCAATCATGGTATATAAAAACAAGAAAAAGATTGCAGTCTTAATTTAGAATGACAATATATTAATTTCAATTTACTACATTAACAAACAATAAAAATTTTCTTAAGAAATAAAGACTAAACATAGCCATTATGTTGTAGGCTCATGTGTGTTTCTCTGTAGCTAGAATAGTACCTGGTAGAGTCAGAGCTTCTTCAATTAACAGCTCTTAAATTACACAAGGGAGGTGACTGTATTCCCTTAGGCACAAGGAAAAAGGAAGACGGTCACCCAAGACCTGCTGGTCCTCTGGGGCCACACATATACATTACATATCCCTTTTACAAATCCAAAGTGGCAAAAGCTAGAGTATCTATTGTCATTTTTCTAAGGCAACCATATGTTCTATAACCTGTTAATTGACGGTTCTAAACTGTGTAAAATGGTACTGGCAAAGAGTAAACTTTTTAGTGATTTATATTTTGTTCCTCCAATTTAGAAATTATCCAGGTGTCCAAGATTAAACATTAATTTACTCAATTTAATATTCATCTAAATTCTTAAAGTTATCATAGATTGTGAATTCAGTATGTAAGCTGACAGACATATTGAGTCCTTATAATTTGTGACATGATAAAAATTAATTCCATTAGTTTAATTCATAATTTACAATTTTAAAATTATAAATAAAGTGATGTTAATTCATCTAACCAGTAAACCTAGTGGAAGAAATTTAGCAAATTAAAATTAATTCATTTTTTTTGTTTTTTGTTTCTTCTTCTTTTTTTACAAAATGAACCCTAGACTTGTGTAAACTAGAATATTATGGTAACATTATTTTTACATTATGATAATAATAAAAAAACTATTTTGAAAATTAAGCTAGAGAATTTGTCCAAACAGTAATCTTGATTAGAAATATTATGTGTTTTTCCCTATAAAATTATATACCAAGTATTAAAATGTTTAAGTTGTTTAAAAATAGTGTAGTATTTCTGTTTTTTTTCCTTATACTTTATCCTGTTAACTAAGACCACTAATTAAACTCTCAGTTAAACTTTCCTTTAAAAGAGTTAATAAACAGCTGAGAATATAATTAAGTCTCTGATTCCTTTCTAACAGTGGTAGAAAATTCTAGTTTCCAGTGTCATATGCCTTACAATAAACTCTAATTAAGGTTTAGAAAATATTATGTCTTTGTTTTATATGGGTATTGGAAGTACTTTTTTTTCTGATTCAATTGCCCAATTTATAATAACATCATATTTCTTCTCTCATTTCTAACCTTACTTAAAGAGCCTGAAGGGACAATAATTTGGAATTACTGAATTGTAACCTTTAGAGGCTTTGGCATAGTAATTAAAGAGACAAGACATTCAGTTTCCTTGGTTTCTGTCTAGTCCTAAGTCTATTGTTAGTCCTAACATTTTTTAAAGTCAAAAGTTAGCATAGGCAGCCATTTTATATTATCTTTGACACAGAAATGCAATTTTTGCAGATATTGACAATTATTTGGACTCAGAATGAGTAAACACGAAAAAAGTTTTGGAAGGAGGAAAAAGGCATACAAACACAAAACACCAAACATAGTGGATTTCATTAAAGGCCAGAAAGCAAAACAAATCTCTGACCCTGTGTTCTCAAATACAGAGAATATCAACATCTTTAAACACAAACAACCCAAAAAAGATTAATAAATGAACCAGATTTTCTGTCTTTGACAATGACTAATCACTTAATGATGTGGCCATAAAACCGTAACTAAACTGCCACTACTGCTACCAATATGTACCCAACCTGCCAAGTGTAATCAGAATAACCAAGACAAGAAGCAAATCTGGGCAATAAAATTTTAGCATGCAAAAGCCAGGGTAAGGTGGACAGAAAACTCAATGGGCCCAGGGCTGAACAAGGTGTATTTTCAGGCCACACATTTCTGTTGGCTCCTATTGCAGGAGTCAGGTAAACAATGTCTTGGTGGAACCTCCAGAAATAAATGATCAAGGAGTTAATGATCAGCCTACCGTTTACTTGTATCGAAGAGAGAACAAGCAATTTCATCCAACACAGGCAAAAGCAGAATTTATATAAGAGAAAGGGGAAGGTAGGGGGCAAAAAACACTGAAATTGGTCTGGGAAACAGTGAATCTTGTTTGCAGTTTTTGGTTAAACTGATTAGTTGGCAGTTAGGAGAGGGGTCATTCAGGATTGGACACAAGTCCTTGAGTAGAGGCATAGAAAAAATAATTCAGCTGTGAGACTCCGGAAATCTTGAGTTTGGCCGTGGAACACGTGCGACAAGCATCTGTCAGTGTCCAGCATCTGGGCTACCACCTTAATTAGTTCAGTGCTGCATCAATTCTTATCAGAACTCAAATAAATCATTCAGGTAAGGTAGCTAGTGATTGCAGAGCAGAGCAGAGCAGTGTTCAATTGGAGGCTTGTCTGGCACCAAAGACTGGCCTTAGTTTATTATACTTTCCAGGTGTCAAAGAAAACTGCAGATTTAAGATCACAGAGTTCTTAACGTTAAGCAATTTTGCAACCTAAATCACATAGTATTTATCTAAAATTACTTTAAAAAATCTTTTTAAATAAATTATTTTCCATTTTTAATGGAGAAAGCAAACCAGTTTTAACTGCCGAAAATGTGTTCTAGGCTTGAATAAAATAGGTAAAGTGCTTCTACTCTTTCATCTTAAAATCTTCGTCGGAAACAAAGATCATGAGTAAAGTGCTTCAAGGAAGATGGCATTTGCCAGCCTATAAAACGGACTGCAGTTTTCCGGGAGGGGAAGGTTCTCTAAGGAAACATACAGTGTATGCCAAGTTTAAAGCTACTCCCTCCTTTTCCCCCACCTCCAGTCCAGCTTAATTGCCTTCAGTTAGTCTCCAGTGGAGGCTTGTCAATTCATCCAGCACTTTGAGCTGGCCTCTCCTAAATGAGAGCTTTTCAACAATTTCTGCATTTTACCAGCCACCTACGAAGCTTAAATTTAAGACACAACGTTCAGACAACACCAGACCAATTTTGGCAGAGACTGAGCACTGGGGTTCAAAAAACAAGCGTTGGTTTGAATCTTAAGTAGATAAGCCAATTGAATAGAGGACGACGATAGATAAAGCAGAATTTGCCAACTGTTTACATCAAAATTAGTTCTGTACTACTTTAGTCCCGCTAACAAAACTATTGAGAAAGAAAAATTAGGTTAGAAGACTTTATTACCGCAACAGTTTGCAAATCTGGAAGAACGAACGTGTGCTCGAAAAGAGCACAGCAGAGTTAAGCTTATCGGTAAAAAAGTTCCTGCCCAGGTTCTCACTCCGGTCCGCTATGTAAACGAGTGAGACAAACAGCTTTCCCAGCAGCCCTCGCTTTAAGGAGGGGTAAACAGTAACGGCTACGACTGTACTCAAGTCACACCAATGTGTCGTTTCTTGTGGGAACGTAGAGTACGTGTGTGGTGTCTAGTCTGTAAATGGCCGCTTGGCTCCATTTTGAATTTAGGCTGTTAGTCGGTTAGGATTCATTTTGAATACTCCCTTTCAGGGCTCACGATTCATTTAAAGTTACAAAAATAATGCTCACTGCCGACCCCTCTCAACATACCCCGAAACTAAATCTACTGGTCACAGCTCTCTTTGTGGATATGGGGGTGGCTCTTAAAAGAGCCTTTGGAATTAAGGGGGCAGACGCTTACTTGAAAAATTTATTTGGAGCTGGTGTACTTGGTGACAGCTTTGGTGCCCTCGGACACGGCATGTTTGGCCAGCTCTCCCGGCAGCAGCAGGCGCACTGCCGTCTGAATCTCCCTAGAAGTGATGGTCGAGCGCTTGTTGTAATGCGCTAGGCGAGAAGCCTCGCCCGCGATGCGCTCGAAAATATCGTTGACAAATGAATTCATGATGCCCATGGCCTTGGATGAGATGCCGGTGTCGGGGTGGACCTGCTTCAGCACCTTGTAGACATACACGGAGTAGCTCTCTTTGCGGCTGCGCTTGCGTTTCTTGCCGTCTTTCTTCTGGGCCTTGGTCACAGCCTTCTTAGAGCCTTTCTTCGGAGCAGGAGCAGACTTAGCTGGCTCAGGCATTTTAAACTCTTACAACACCAGAAGTGTGGGCCAAATGACCAGATTTCTGCTACTTATAGGGCTTTTATGCTAATGAGGGATTCTGAGGTCAGCTTAGTTAATTGGAAGACAAGCAGCGGAGTTGTCATCCAGGGGCTGAACTATGCAAATGAAGTATGGAAATACAGCTTTTCTATTGGCTACTTGTCTGACACTCTCTCCTAGCCAATCAGACAATCGGAGTTACTCCCCAGGAAATACCTATAAAAGCAGCCATGTTTCACACACTTCCAGATCTCGCTTATTTTCAGGAGCTTAGGTGTCTAGTATTTTTGTTTGTTTACGATGTCTGGCCGAGGCAAGCAAGGAGGCAAAGCTCGTGCTAAAGCGAAGTCTCGTTCTTCTCGTGCAGGTCTACAGTTTCCCGTGGGCCGTGTCCACCGCCTCCTCCGCAAGGGCAATTACGCAGAGCGTGTGGGGGCCGGCGCGCCAGTGTACCTGGCAGCGGTACTGGAGTATCTGACCGCCGAGATCCTGGAGCTGGCTGGCAACGCGGCTCGTGACAACAAGAAAACACGCATCATCCCGCGCCACCTGCAGTTGGCCATCCGTAACGACGAGGAGCTCAACAAGCTTCTTGGCCGAGTGACTATTGCACAGGGCGGTGTCCTTCCCAACATCCAGGCCGTGCTGCTGCCCAAGAAGACCGAGAGCCATCATAAGGCCAAGGGCAAGTGATTTGACAGGCATCTGAATTTCCGGAAAGGCTATCAAACCCAAAGGCTCTTTTCAGAGCCCCCCCACCCTTTCAAAGGAAGAGCTAAACTCACTGTTTAGATAAAAAGGAAAAATATTAAGGTAAGTTAGCTATAATAAAGCTAGGATAACTAGTTATATTCTCGCTTTGAGATTTTTGGAATAAGGCTGAGTGTATAGAAATGGAAAAATATTTTACCTGTGGGAAATAGTTCTTCACGAAGTAAGTGCTCTTCTGGACGCATTTTCCAAGGTTGAGTGGTTGACTATGGTCAGTAATTCCTAACTACAGCTTAAATGCGGAGATGCCCTGTGGTCTGAAACTTTCGTTCTTACTCCTTTAAATAAGTGTTCAGAAGTTCTTCAAGGTAACCTAACCGTTAACCTTTCCTGTTCTCTGGCTAGACCCTCTTGGATTTGTTCTCGTTTTAGGCTGCACGGCAGCCCGCCTTTTCTAGTTCTGTTACGTTCCAGGGTCTACTTGTGTTAATGTTCAAAGTGCAGTCTAAAATTTAAACAGGACCCTGAAAGGGGTCTCTAAAATTGATAACTCGGATTTGGTATGTGGTATTTTACAACAGACTGAACATAGATTGGAATAGGAGCTCTTCCATTTACCAGTTGTAAGATTCAGCCGATTTCTAATCTCTGAAACCGAAATTTTATCCGTAAATCGGGTGTAGATTGTGCCAGTTAAACAACCTAATACCGTTAACTTGGAAGAGTTTGACATTCACACGAACTGGAGTTAATACTATTGTTGTCTTGAGACTTGTGCTTAGGTTCCTGACGCAGCCAGAAAAGCACAGTGGAGCCAGAGGCCTCCCCCAAACCTTTGCTGCTAGGGATCTGGAAATAGCTGCTCCAACCAGAAGAAGAGAGATCTGGAACCGTGAAAGAACTGCTAGGGTCCTATTTTCCCGCATTTTTTGAGTCTCAGCAAGTTTTTCTTCTGGATGACTCGGTTTGTGCATTGGCAGGGAAAGAGTGGGCAGAGAAGAGTGGGCAAGCCTTAACCGACTCAACTTGGGGGTTAAGTCTTGCCCACGCTTCATCGCTCGGCTGCTCAGAGTAGCCAAGCAGATGCAGCCACTTAGTCAGTACTCCTGGAGCTTCACTGAAGCGGTTTGCCTGGAATTCCGAGTGCCTACCGGGAGAAATTTTTTTTTTTTTTTTAATTCAAGGATATGCTTCCTGTGGACTGGCCTCCTACTTTCCCGATACTGATACCGGTTTGGGGCGGGTCCAGCCTCTTCCCTTCCTCCCTCTCTTCACCTCCTTCACTGCAACCACCCTCAAAGGAAAAGGATTGGGTGTCCAGGACTTAGGGTGAAGGCAAAGTGGCAGAAAAACAAGTGATCACCTTGATGGCCACACGTTAGAATTTCTCGAGGAGTTTTTAAAGTTGCAATGATTCTAATGAACAGCTAGGCTGAGTCATCAGACTTGGGAGGGCTGGCCTCACCAGGCTCCTGGGCCCGATGGGCTTGTGAGAACCAGTCTTTCCTCCTAGTATTTCCTTCATGTTGGAGATCGTAGATCCTTAGGTCAAGAATTGCTTCATATCAGCCTTGGGGTCATTTTCATTTACGTGTCAAATTGCCTTTCAACACAACTTCCAACAGGTGCATGACCTTGGCAGAGTTGCTCAACCTTTTCCTGTTTCCATCTCTTCAGGCATGCCTTTGCTCCCCTTGCCGTGAAAAGAACCTAGCTTGGCAGTGTGGATTTTGAAATTAGAACACAGGCTGATCAAGAAAGATTATGTATTTAGACAGTTACTGTGTGCTAGGCACATTTCTGTGTACTTCCAACATATTAATTTGTTTAATCCAACAATCCTAGAGGTAGGTTCTAGCTCTATTCTGAATTTAAAGATGAGGAAACTAAGGAACAGAACTTAAACAAGTTCTAAATTTGTTGTCTAAGTTGTCTAAATTCCAAGGCCAGGAAGCCAGTACTTCTAACTGCTGGCTGTTCTATAATCACCTCTCTCTTAAGAGATTATTGTTGGAAAGATGGAAACAGTAACAACAACAACAACAAAAAAACCATAATGGGTGAACTTTGTCCACATAGCAGAATGTTACTAATGGCATTCTAAACTCTGAGGAACTTAAGGGAAGCACCAGAGGTAATTTTCCCCGGAATCTACTTTAACAGAAGAGGGGTGAATCTTGACAATATGTTTATACTGTAAGCCCAGATAAAAAGCTGGTACACTTTTGATTTAAGGTCTGACAAGTGAAACAAAGGAACAGGTAGGAAGATGATTTGGTAAAGAGCTACAGGAGTTGATAAACTGATTGTGAGGAAAGTAGATAAAGACTTGTTTAAATTTTTCTTCTCTGAGATCCAGTAACAAAACTTTGTATTTCATCTATTTAGTAGGTCAAATAAATACAAGTTACTTAACTTTAATTCCCCCTAAAGGTCCTATTTCCAAATAGAGTCACATTGGGGTTTAGGGCTACAATATATGAATTTTGGGGGACACAGTTCAGTCCATAACATTCCACCCTTGGCCCACCAAAACTTAAGTCCGTCTTCCATGCAAGATCCATTCATTCCATCCGAATAGCCCCCAAAGTTTTAACTCATTCTAGCATCAATTCTAAAGTCCAAAGTGTCATCTAAATATCTAAATCAGATATGGTGAGACTCAAGGCACAATTCATCCTGAGGTAAAATTCCTCTGAACCTGTAAAACCAGACAAGTTACATTCTTCTAAAATACAATGGTAGGACAGGTGTAGAATAGAAATTCCCCATTCCAAAAGGGAGAAATAGAAAAGAAGGAAGGGGTGATGAGCCCTAATCAAGACTAAAACCTGGCAAGACAAAGTCCATTAGATCTTAAGGCTTGACAATAATCTTTGACTTAATGCTCTGACTTCCAGGCCCACTGGTGTTGCAGAGTCACCTCCACAACTCTGGCGGTGGCCTACTCCTTTTGCTTTGCCTGAAGCCCCACCCTTCAGTTTGGTGGGGTCCCATAGGGGGAAGCTCTCTGTGAGTAAGTCTCCCACACAGCTTTGTCGGCATCCTTCATCCTTGAAACTAAGGTGGAGTCTGCCTTTCCTACCCACTCTTACTCCTACCCTGTCTCTGCCTGGGCACTCTGAGTCTGAGGTAGGAGTGGCAACCCTAATGATCTCTTAATTGCCTTTGGGGTCCTTCTTCCCCTTTCTTGAAGGATAGTACATATTAACTATCTGGCAGTGTCCTGTAGAATCCAAAAAGTCTGACAAACTTCTTCATTCCTTTGCATTTTCTCTAATTTAGTCCAAACTGGCAATGTCTCTGCTGTTATAATCCCATATCCCTTCCTGACTTCTGTTGAGATGGCTGATTATGTTCATGAGTTGGACCCATTATCTCTTTATCAAATGGTTGTTCAACCATACCTCTTCAAGAAAAGCTTTCTCAATTTTTTTATAGTACGGATAGGGTGAGACTTCTCAAAATCTCCAAATTCTGATTCCTTTTTGCTTAAAAATTCCTTTTTCAATTCATCTCTTTTCTCCTACATTTTACTATAAGCAGTAAGGCGGACCTACACCATACCTTCAATACTTTGCTTAGAAATCTCTTCTGCTAAATATGTACTAGAACATAGTTCAGCCAAGTTCTTTACCATTTTATAACAAGGATTACTTTTCTTCCAGTTTCCAATAATCTGTCCCTCATTTCCATCTGAGACTTCACCAGAATGGCCTTTAATGTTCATATTTTAACCAACATTCATTCATGATTATTTATGTATTCTCTAAGAAAACGGAAACTTTCTCTCTAGTTCTCCTCTTTTCTTTCTGAGCCCTTACAAGAATTGCCTTTAACATCCATATTTCTACCAATAGTCCCTTTGGCTTTTTCTAGCATGGACCTCAAAACTCATCTAGCTTCTACCCATCACTCAGTTCCAAAGCCACTTTCACATATTTAGGTATCTGTTGTAGCAGCACTCCACTTCTTGACACCAAATCTACCTTAGTCTCCTTGGGCTGCCATAACAACATATCACATACCAGTGGCTTAAACCAGAGAAATTTATTTTCTCACAATTCTGGAGGCTCGAAGTCTGAGATCAAGGTGTCAGCAGGGTCAGTTTTTGGTGAGACTCTCTTCCTGGCATATAGGTAATCCCACGGATACCAGGCAGATGACCATGTCCATTCTTTCCTGTATTTGTTAATAGCCATAGCTGAAAGGCCTTTATTCTACAACAAATTGTCCTTGCATTAAATATTCATGTCACAATGACTGGATTGTAATATGGTTTAAATTTTAGAAACTTGGAGCTTATTTCTGGTTCCTGTTCTTTGCTTTGTCACCTTGATGGGGTTCATCAATACTACACTTGGAAAGACCATCTATATGTAATAAACCTCCAATTTTACATCTCCAGCCCTGATCTCTTTCCTGAAATGCAAATGTATGTATTTAAATTTTTACTTGACATATTCATTTGGAACTCTAACAGGTCTCTCAACCTGAATACTACCAAGACACAAGATTTAACATTATGATCCCTAGGCCTGTTATACCTTCCAGTCCTCCTAACTCAGTAAATGACACTAACATAAATTCGTTTATTCAATCCAACATTCTAGGAGTGAGACTTGCTGCTTTTCCTTCATCTCCACAAACACAAACTGTGAGTCACATCACCTACACCACCAATACATGTCTTAATTCATTCTTCATACTCCTTACCAGGACCTGAGGGACCACACATGACCACCTCTGGCCACTGTCCACCTTTCTGACTTCATCTCCTTTGCTTGTTCTAGCCACGCAGCTCTCTCTTTCCACCAAACAGCTAAGTCTGCTGCCTCAAGATGTTCACATTGTGACATCACATTCACATCACATTGTGACTCATTATCTGAAATGCCTGTCCTTTGACTTTTCTTCTGGTGAGCTCATTTTCACCCTTCAAGTCTCAGCTGTTTCTCAGACAAGCCTATGTAAAATAGACCTGCCTAGGTGTATTAAAGATCTAAACATACGAAATACAAATATCAGAAGACATTTTAGAAGACACTTTGTATACCACGTGTGTGTGTGTGTGTGTGTGTGTATTTTGGGGAGGACACAAAAGCTGTATAGGAAAGGACACAGACCATATAGGCCAAAAAGAGGTTTAAGACACAGTATATGGAAATAAAGTAGTAAAAAATGAGCGATAAATTGGGATAAAGGATTTGCAAAACATATATAAGGTTAATGACCTCAATTTACAAAGAACTGCAAGCTGTTAGGAAAAAGGCAAACAACAAATAACATAAAATATGATTAAACAGGGTATTTTATGTCCTTTATTAAATTCAAATGGCCAATACATATGAAAAACAAAAAAAACCCCAAAACTGTTACTCTTCCTAATAGTTAAGTTATGCATATTAGTGCAACAAAAGGATACCATTTCTTACCTTAGACAACCACTAAAACCAGTAATATTCAGGACTGTTGAGGATGAAGAATTGCCAGTGTCAAATGGTCTTTGAAAATTTGTCCTGGCAATATCTATTAAACTTTTTTAATAGATACTTGGGAAGGGGGAATGTCTAGCATCTAGAAATAAAGACCCCTCTATGTAAGGTTATAGGCGTAAGGACTCTTTTTCAACACTGTAATGAGAAACAAAAGAAAAAAAATTCTGATTATACCTATAAACCATCTTAATAACCATAACTAAGAATACTGTTGACATAAGCAAACCATGGAACATCCATTTATACTGTGGAATAAGATGCAGCTACCAAAAACAATCATGCAATGAGACAGAATCACACACACAACTGATGAGAGTAAATGAATATAGAGAAAGGTGTAGAAGAAAACCCATCATGTTAATTATCTCAGGGAAGTGAAATTAGAATTGGATGAAGAGAGATTAACTTTTATAAACATCTGTGTGTGAAGTGTTAAGCATGTATTAGCTTATAACTTAAAGTATAAAAAGAGAAACCAAAAAGTTAGCTCCCTTTCTCCATTCCCCACCTCAAATTACATTCTATCAATCATACTGTTTATATTCTTTAAAATACAGTCTCAGATTTTATTAGAACCCATGTTGTTTCTCTGTCCCCATTACACTTTGCTCCGTGAAGTAGGGACCTGGCCTGTCTATTCATTGTTTTTTTTTTATTTGTT